CTCTTAACCCCATAACTAGCAGTCTTTGGTGCCGGGATCTCCCCCTTTCTGCACTCTGCTTCTTATGCCTCTTCTTAGGCACTGGGGATGGTGAATGGTGACAGGACTCATGCATGGTAGGAGGCGCACTCCTTACTGAGTGCTGCACTCCTTACACCCAGTCTTGAGTCTGATCGACATGGCTCAGATAGAGGTCTGAGGGATGCTCTATGAGTAGAAACTTTAGCCTGGCTTCACAATCTTTCCTCATGTGGGGCTTAAAGTCCCTGAAAATTTGACAATGCTCTCTGATCTGAGCTTCCCTGAGGCATTTAAAGCAACTTGAGCACAGATAGCTCACAGCCTTATTGCAGGAAATGTAGGGCTTGAAGCCCGATGACTGAGGCATCCCGTGGTAGTGGGAATCAAATGAAACCATCAGATGAAGTAAAAACCTAGCTAACTAAACACTAATAAACTTACTAACACTAAACTATTCAAAATAAAATATGAGCGGATACAGTCCACTGAGAGTGCTTGCAGAAGCAAGGAGAGCAGTTCCAGTGACCATCACAGGCAGTAAGAAGGAATTGAGGGGACTCAGATTGGCTGGGCCTCTTTACCGATCCCAGCGGCAGCAGAGGGCACTCAAGCCACCCCGATGAGTACCACTAAGGGAAAAATTTCTGGTGACTGTGCATGGGGGCGCGCACACCAAGAGTAGAATGCACATGTGCAATTTCTCGAAGGCGGGCAACCACAGTACCTACCTTTTAAAAGGATCACAAAGAGGACCCATGGAATTATAGACCAGTTAGTCTAACTTCAATACCTGGAAAGATACTGGATCAAATTATTAAACAATCAGTCTACAACCACCTAGAAGATAAGAGGATAAGTAATAGCCAACATGGATTTGTCAAGAACAACTCATACTAAACCAACCTAATTTTCTTCTTTGATATGGTATTGGCCTAGTGGATGGGGGAAGCTGTAGAGGTGATAGATCTTGATTTTAATAAGGTTTTTGACAAAGTGCTTATGAGAACATCAATTGGGAAACTAGGGAAATGTGGTCTAGATGAAATTACTATATTATGGATACATAACTGGTTGAAAAATGAGCTTAACTTGAAGCAAGGGAGGTTTAGGGTAGGTATTACAAAAAACTTTCTAACTGTAAGGATAGTTAAGCACTGGAATGGGCTTCTAAGAGAGGCTGTGGAATCCCTGTCATTGCTGGATCTTAAGAACAGGTTAGACTAGGTATACTTGGTCTTGCCTCAGTATTGGGGACTGGACTAGATGACCTCTTGAGGTCCCTTCCAGCTGTATATTTATATGATTCTATATAATGCCTTCTAGTGCCACTGTCTTCAAACATTTTTTATTACATGCACAGTAAAACACTACTTTTCTCAGATTATGCTGGGCCATATATTTGGCCTTCAAGGTCTCAACACAAGCATATTAATTTTCCCAGTTAAAAATATTAGCTGATTATATCACATTATTTTAAAATACAAAAATGGATCTATATTTTAAGAACAGAAAACTAGCAATACGCTACTCCAGAATAAGGAGTACAAATTTGTATATAATTTTATGATGATGTGCAATGTTTAAGGGAAGTAGAGTTGGGGGGAAAACTTTGAATAGAAAAATTTTATTTTGCAGAGTCTATGTATGTAAACTAGATACTATAGATGAGTACTGTTTAAGGTATCCTTATAAATCTGTTATGGTAAGCTTTTCAATCCTAATTTTTTTCAATGCAGCAAAGGGGTAAGGAACAGGAAATAAGAGATAGCTGGGACAGAGGGTCATCGTAAGGTGCTGGAGGCAAAAGTGTGTCACTGAGCAATAAAAGGAGGCGGAGCAGCAAAACAGGGGTGGGTGAAAACTATTGAGAGGGCTAGGTTAGTAGCGAACTGAAGGACAAGGGAAGAGATATAGAAGAGGTTAGAGAACCAGAAGGGCATTTTGGCAAGAGCAGTAGCCTATATGAGAGGAACAGACAGGAGTAAGGAATATAAATAAATAGCTGGAGAGGAAGATAAGAACCTGGAGGAAAGAGGCATTTGGGAGACCAAACTGCAGGGAAACGTAACTGGGAATGCTTCTGGCAGTGGTAGCTGCAGCAGCTGCCCACCAAAGGTCTGGGGAGAAAGGAAGGAAGTAGGGAATCTTGGGCAAGGGTTGTACCCCTGGCTAGAGGAAGTGACATGCTAGCTAGTTGATGAAAGGAAAGGAAAGGATGAGGCACGCAGGGTGGTGGAGCTTTGAGTTCCCCTCCCTGATCATTTTTGTAACATCAAAAGACTGCCTGGTTCCAGAAGCACTACAAACCCTTTGATGTGAGAGCAGTTCTGGCATAACACTACAGTAGCACACCAAAAAGGGAGGGGGCTATTAACTCTCAGATTAAAGAGTTCCTAAATGCTCAATGACATGTAGAACGACAGCCAAGAAACAGGCGTGAGAGTGAGTTTCCTAGTACTATATGACACCTTAAGATTTGAAAATATTGCGGGGCCCTCTAAATTTCAGGGGTTGGAGATGGTCACAAGATCCTTCTCTGATGCATTGTGATCCTTGTCTCCCTTTCAGTGATACTGCTGGAAGGGGAGATTGAGCAGAGAATTGACTCCACTCTAGTCCTCCTAATGGAGAAGAAGAGTAGAGCATCTCTTGAGTTTCTAAGTCTGTTCAAGGCATCAAGGAGAAATTTGCCTTACTGATGCTTAAAGTCTTAACTTTCATGCATGCGCAATATTATTTAAAACAAAACACAGAAAACACTAATACTGAAAAAGGAAGTCCATATATAAAACCATTTCATAACATTCAGGATCAGTCAATGATACTGGTATAAATCTATAGAGTTACTCTACATTTACACCACTGTAAAGGAGAGAAGAAACAGTTCCTAGGAGTCTGAACCAAGCTAACAAGAGTCAAGAATTCAGAGTAACTTTTTCCTCAACTCTCATGTTTTCTGTTGATGAGTATTAGAACAGCAGGCTATAATAGACATCAAAGGAGATGTAACACATTGGTCCAATGGGGTAAACTAAGGAAGAGTTAATCTCAAATAGAATTTTCTGGTCTTTCATTTAAGTCAGACTGATCGTGTTAAGGTAACATAGGGCCAAATCCTATAACTTTTTAATGATAGTTTTGCTTAAGAAAGGACTAAATCATTTGACCTACACTATTTTGTATGCAACAGTACATTTTAGCATGCAGATATTTTATGAATGAACAAAATATAATGGCTGATGCTAAGAAATTTATTATTTGACAAATGTACTGCTTCGTTTTTAAATCACATTTGAAAGATTTTTTTTTTTAAATTAGGGATAGTGAATAATCAAGAGATTTGTTTCAAATGGCACCCAGCACAGAAGTAAAGACCTCTAGCAGGCATGCAGTTAGAGGATGTGTTTATCTGGTTATTTTTCTTAGAAGGAGGAGGAAGTGCCAAGGCAAACACAAGTATGACTATTGATTAACATGATTGTCCTGCATAGAAGAGAAAAATGTATTTTTCCATATACCTTGTTGATTGTAAGAATATATTAAACTGTTACTATGGGTTTACCTGGAATAAACTGACACATTACTCAATTTGTTATTGGATCTTTTTGATTAGAGAGCATTGCTATAAAATATTTGTGCAGATGGAATTTTTGGAGAATTTAGCTGCAAAGTTCTACCAACTCTCTACTGCAGTAGTTCTCAACCAATTAAACATTGTGGGCCACATATGTGTTACCTGGGCTGCAGTTTGAGAACCACAGCACTCCCCCAACCCCCTCCAACCTTCTATGCCCAGCACCCCCAGCCCAGAGATCCCTCCACAAAGTGGGGCCAGGAGCGGAGCCCTGGTGGAGGGGTTGGGCAGCAGGGACCCTTTACCCCGTTGTGCGGGGCCAGGCATCAGCCCTGACCCGACCCCGCTGCTAACCCTGACCCCGACCCTTGCTGTGCGGGGCTGTGCGGCAGCCCTGACACTGGATGCTGGTGTGCAGGGCAGGGTGGCAGCCTGGACCCCGCAGCCAGCCGCATGGCAGCCCCTGGCAGTCCTGGACCCCGCCACCCTTTAGCACACAGCTGGGCTGCAGCTGTGTGCTAAGTGGGCCACATGCAGCCCGCGAACCACTATTCTAGTGTTTTTTTTTTTAAAGACTTATAACTTGGCCAAATTTGGGCAGATTTTCATGGGGATTTTCATGGGGTGTCCCATGGCTGGGATCTGGGGAGGTAGAGGGTGCAGGTGTCTGGCCTGGGGGTTGCCCCATGGCTGGGCTCTGGGGGAAGGGGGCATGGATGTCTGATCTCCCCGGTTAGGCTTGAGGGTGCGGGGAGGGGGCAGAAAAACAGGAACTAGGTTGTCGTAGGGGTTTCTTTAACTCTCTACTCGGGGGAATTTTGTGTGTGTCTGTATTGTTACAGACATAGCTGCCGACAGGTACAGTATTTTGAAATAAATTACCAAAATGATTGAAACTGACATGATTACATAATGTTATTTTGACCAACAAAATATGAAGAATTTTGCAGAATTTTAGAATATTGCCTGCAGAATTTTAAATTTTTTGGCGCAGAATTCCCCCAGAAGTATTAATTGAAATTTACTTGCTCACTTCATCCGTCCAAGTGCAGAATTGCTGGTAAAGAGATACTAATGAATACTTTACATTAAACTTAAGCAAATTAAACAAATTCAATAAATGGCAATGTTTGTCTAATTAGTATTTATAGAGCTCTGACCTTTAAAATATGCTAGGCTTTACCAACATATTTCCATTAAATGACCTCATGCCAATGCACTGCTAGTTGCTAATTTCACCTATTCTTTGGTTCATTTTTGTCAATTGGCAAACAAAAACTTCTTGGAAGTTGGGGTAGTGTTTGGAAAAGTTCTTTCACACATCCTGGACCTTTTCCCTTTTGGGACTATATGAAAATCTGTTTAAGAACTAGAATTGGTTTGAAAAGGAACAAGAGAAACTTACTGTTTCTAAGACCATGATACGCTCCTGCAAATAAAGCAGAATACATAATTAGAAAGTAAAGAGAACAAATAAAAAACAAGTTGAACATGATGAAAGGGTTTCATTTTGTCTTTGCTGGTATTAGCAGATACAACATTTTGTACAAAAACTTATTACATAGGAACACAAGAATTGCCATACTTGATCAGGCCAGTGGCCCATTTAGTTCAGGATCTTGTCTTTAGCAGTTGCTTCAGTGGAAGGTGAAAGAAACCCTGAAGAAAACAGTTATGAAAGAACTTGCCAAAAAGGAAGGTTTCTTCTGATCCCCTATTAGAGTCTGGCTTCTGCCCTGAAGCAGGAGATACGATATCACTTACAATTTTTTGAAGTATTTATCATGACTTTGAATATTTTTTTAACCATGTAAATGTCCAATCCTTTTTTGAATCCTGATAAATTCTTGGCCTCCATGGCAATAAGTTCCGTTGTCTAAATGCATGTTATATGAAATATTTCCTCTTTGCCATCTTTTAGTTTAATTGGATGCCTTCTTGTTCTTGTCCTTGCATCATATGAAATTGTAAAAAGAAGTTCTTATCTACATTATCTGTACCATTCATTATTTTACATATTATATTTATCGTGCACTTTCTTATTCCTCTCTTCTCTAAGATAAATTGTTTCAATCATTCCAAACTCTTCATGTGAGAGTTTCTCCATGCACCAACTCATTTTCATAGCCTCTAAGCACCCCACTGCATTTCTGTTACGTCCTTCTTGGGATGGAGTTACCAGAACACAAAATTCCAAGTGAGGGTGTACCACTGATTTCATATGGTGATGTTATATTTTCAGTACTCTCTACCCTATTTCTTATGCATCCCGACATTTTGTCTGCTTTTTTGACCATTGCTGCATGTTGAGCAGAGGTCTTCCCTGAGTTGTCTTCATTACTGTGATCTGATTGTTTTTCAGTGTTTATATTGTATTAGCATCTATGTTAGGTAGTGCTTTATAAAGCTAAAAGGCAAATTACATTGATGCTACCTCCTCTTGATAGACTGACTAGTATAATTTTGTTAGAAATAAAAATAAAAACCTAAAAAAACAAACAAAAGGAAAACCCAAATATAGACATAATAAAAATAGACTAACTAAGCAACTGAAGAGTGTACAAACTAAGGGGTCTACAGTTAAAATCAACCAGAAAATCTGTAGGCATTCCTATATGAACCATTTGAAAGTGGTCTGCTGTCTCTTCCCCTTTCCTCTATGTACTATTGGGACTTATTGTATAAACTTTCTTAACCTCATGTCACTATTAGACAGAAGGCTGTGGAGGAAGAAAACAAGTTTAAGTCTACACTAAAAAGGGTTTGTGAGTATAGCTATAGCAGTAATTCTACACTGGCAAACCTTCTAATGGAGACAGTATATACTGGCAAAAGAACTCTTTTGGTTGTATAGCTTATACCAATTCCGTGAACAAAATAAGCTATATCAGCAAAAGGACTTTTTTGCTGGTATAAAAATGTCATAAATGATTACACCACTGTTCAATGTTATTATATTGGCAAAAGTTTCTAGTAGAGACCTAGGCCAAGAAGCTCCTTCTTCCTCCTCAACAGCTGGGGGGCGTGGAACATACCCAGATGTGCACAGCCTATGGCCATCCCTCCCACGCAACTCACACCAACAGGGTTTAAAAAAGTTTACTGGAGCTGCTGGTAGCTGTTGAAACTTGTAGAACATGAGATTACAATTTTAAAGGTAGAAGGTGTTCACAGAATATCTACTACCCCAGGAGAGAATGTGGAACCTGCCAAACCCAACAAAGGAGGAACTGGAATTTAGCCATCTCTAATTTTCTGAACCCTGATCCTCATAGGTCTTCTAGAAGCCTGAGCCATGGACCAGGACTTCACTGAGATAGGCACTGTACAAACACAGAACAGAAAGACAGTCCCTAGCCCAAGGAGCTTACAATCTAAGTATAAGACAAGAGACAACAGATGGACACAGGTAGCTGTAGGAATACAAGGAAACAATCAGACAGTATTGGTCCGGGTGATAGGCAGTGGTCCCAGCACACCAGCAGCCTAATCACTGTCAATTTTTTTGTAGGCACCATACACTCATAGACATTAACGCCAGAAGGGATCGTCGTGAGCATCTAGTCTGACCTCCTGCACATTGCAGGCCACAGAAACTCACACACACACACTCCTGTAATAGATCCCTAATCTCTGGCTGAGTTACTGAAAGGAGAGTTTTAAGGAGGATAATGAGTTAGTTTTGTGGATGTTTACAAGCATGAAGGACTGCATGGGAAAAAGCATGAAGGTGTTAGTTTGAAAATTTAACAAGTGGGCAATACAGGTTGGCATCACTGGCTGATCGGAAGCAGGAGTTGACTTTTTAATATTGAATGAAAGATAATAGGTGGAGATGGGTCATGATGGGCCTTGCAAGTGAAGACAAATAGCTTATGTTTGATGTGACAGAGAAGAGGGAGCCATCAGAGGGATGCAAAGAGTGGGCTAATGATGTCAAAGCAACACACTAGGGAAAATGATCTTTGCAGCAGCATTGTGAATGGATATCAGAGGGGCAAGATTGGATTTGTCAAGGCCAGAGAAAAGGATGTTGGAGTAATTGAGATGCGAGATGATGAGAGCATGGAGAGTGTGGATGGATGGGAAAGGCTGTATCTTAAAGATGTTAGGCAAAAAGAAATCTGCAAGATTTAGACATACACCTCTACCCTGATATAACGCAGTCCTTGGGAGCCAAAAAAATCTTACTGCGTTATAGGTGAAACCGCGTTATATCGAACTTGCTTTGATCTGCCGGAGCGTGCAGCCCCACCCCCCTGGAGTGCTGCTTTACCGCATTATATCCGAATTCGTGTTATATTGGGTCGCATTATATCGGGGTAGAGGTGTAGTTGGATGTCAGGACCGAGAGAGAAAGTATATTGTACTTAGTCAATGTTAATTAGAGGTTTGGGGAGATTTTTGTGATTATTTTTTGGCCCAACCCTATGCCCATTAATATCAATGGGAGGATTTGTTGTTGTTTTTTGCCATCGATTGAAGTGGGATCAGGATAGGGTGACCAGAT